TGGGGTGGTGGTGCACACCTTTAATCCTAGCATTTGGCAGGCAGAGGCAGGCGGATCTCTGTGAGATGGAAAACAGCCTGGTCTACATAGTGAGTTCCAGGCCAACTGGGGCTACTTTGTGGAAGAGGGGGTTTAAAGAATGTAACAGCAAGAGGGTCAAGCCACCTGCTGCTACCTAAGGCATTCTAGACACAAAGCAGCAGCTACGTGAGTGAACTCTTCACAGTATGGGAGTCTAACAAGATCCGCATATAACAACAAAACCAGCTGACATTCTAAGGTGGATGGGGAAATCTCAAGGGATCTCACCTGAAGATGAAGAGCTACAGGTAATCAACAGACGCTGAGGGAGGAGGATCAGTTTTTGCAGGGACGAGCTCCCTGAGACATTATCTAACTCCATGTGGACAGCCCTAAACTGGCAGGCAGAGGCAGGCGGATCTCTGTGAGATGGAAAACAGCCTGGTCTACATAGTGAGTTCCAGGCCAACTGGGGCTACTTTGTGGAAGAGGGGGTTTAAAGAATGTAACAGCAAGAGGGTCAAGCCACCTGCTGCTACCTAAGGCATTCTAGACACAAAGCAGCAGCTACGTGAGTGAACTCTTCACAGTATGGGAGTCTAACAAGATCCGCATATAACAACAAAACCAGCTGACATACTAAGGTGGATGGGGAAATCTCAAGGGATCTCACCTGAAGATGAAGAGCTACAAGTAATCAACGGACGCTGAGGGAGGAGGATCAGTTTTTGCACAGACGAGCTCCCTGAGACATTATCTAACTCCATGTGGACAGCCCTAAATGCAGGTACTCAGGAACTGAATAGACTCAGTGTATTTTGTATAGTATGCATAGCTATACATTTATATATGTATATGTAACAATAATAATTGATGAAGGGCCAGGAAACTGAGAGGGAGTTGGGGGGATGTGGAAGAAGTTGGAGGGAGACTAGGAGGGATAGAAAGTGTATGAAGACTATACTCCTTTATGATGCTCACCAAAAATGTTTTAAAATAATTAAAATATTA